GGGGGGGGGGGTGTACTCATAGCCGTGCATGCCGTAGTCGTTAGACCATCGACCTAGCATCCCTACACAGCCGGGACGGAGCACGCCGGGTTCTCACCGGACCAGGCTCTCACGGCACCAAGCGCGAAGCGCCGTGAGATATTCGGCGAGTCGCATGAAGGGTGCGCTGCATCCTGCTAAGGGTGTTCGGCGTCTTTTGCTTACTTCCTTGCGTACGGATGACAGCTGCGTATGACTTAATTTATTTTCTGGTGCTTTGACTTTCTGAGACAGTTGTAAGCTCTGTGTAGCTGCCTGGAGGGTGCTTGACCATTTTAACACAACGTGGTGCGATCACCCCCCTTGCGCTGAGTGAGGGTTCTCGACTCCGCACAACATGATCCACTCGACCACCATGATGGGTACCGCCAAAAAAACAGACGTGAACAAAAAGCGGTAACCTGGTTGCCGAGTTCACGAGGTGAATTGGCTTGTTGTACAACGTCGTTGCCAAGCGACGACAACCCAACCCCGATGGCATCCACCGGGGGGGGTCGGCTTGTTTTACAACGTCGTTGCCAAGCGACGAAATCCCAACCCCGATGGCAAACACCGGGGCGGGGGGGCATCTTAATCAGGTTAGATGGGCTCATCCACCAGACTTCTGATTCAGCTGACTGCCATACACGCACAAAACAGACACATCAAAGAGCATGCCTGACGTGGAAATACGACCAAAACCTTCACAAGAGTCCGACAATATCCAAAGAGTTCACCAACCCCCGTCGTCATTTACTACCTGCAAGACCGAAATAGTTCCACATCAAGCATGATGCTGCATGTCAATCGGACGCTGCATTCTTGCATAAAGCATGGACGACCATCAACCTGTCCAGTTGCAGAATATCTACAGATTGGGCGTACACTTCACGATAAGGAAACAAAATCTCCCCATCAGGAAGACTCACGTCGCCACCCTCCCTCATTCTGCAACCATACATGGACGCAAAAGCAAGTGATGACTCCGTGAAACTCTAGCATGTGAAACATCTGTTGCAACTGAACCATTCAAACGCAACCGATTCTCCACGAAATTTCTCCTAACAGGAGAAAATAACAGCACCAGCCTGCTTGAAACAAGGACCCAACATCTGCAAACAGCCAAAGATCCTCAATTATCCTTCAACGAATGCACCAACTTGTTTACACCCGGCCGAAAAATATCTGAAAGCAGAACGATGGTGGCAAATTCTACCAACGTGAACGTCCATGAAGGATGGTGGCAAATTCTGCCAGCAACGTGAATGTCGTCACCCCCCCACTCTGTTACCATTACCGACACAGCTGTCACCGATATCGACTCTCGACAAACAACCAACGGTCAAGAAGCGTACAGCATGGGGGAAACGACGTACACACTGAATGCAACCACGCGGTTTGGCAGCAATCAACATGAAATTGGCGTAAAAGCAAACCTCGAAACTCGAAACACGAACAAGATCAAGAACGCTCGAACAAGAATGTTTTGTATGCATCGGACCTCAGTTGTGATGATGAAACATCCCTGTCTCCACCGCCTCTTTCCGGCTGCTGGAATGCGTGCGGCACCCCCCTACGCGACTTTGCTTGATGGCACCGCCTTTTCCGCTGTGCTCCTCCCCAACGCCCACCTCCGGCTGATGGTTGCGCGCCACCTCCGCGCGACTGAACATGCTGCCCCCCTCGCACCGACGACGAGGCAGAAGGGCCATGGCCCCCACGTCCGTGCTGTGGTTGAAAAGACACCGCCCGCTTCACGCGTGTCCGGCGCCCACCCCCCGACGCGCCGTCGCGCGTGTCGACCGCGGTGGGGCGTGCACGGCCACTCTGCCGTGCCTGTGATCGACTTAGATAAACCACCGCCCGCATCAAGCCTGTACGGCGGCCACCCCCCGTATACGCCGTGGCGTTGTCAATCCATGGGTGCCCCTGACCAATCTGCCCAACGGTCACCCTACCGCCCCTTCTTTCCACCGCCTCATCTCCCGCAGATGGAATGCGCACCATAAACCCTGCGACTTTCGCGGAGGGCGCACCATGACCTGCGCGTTTCCTCCTCCCCCCCACGCAAACCAGCGAGGCTGGGGAACTACTGCTCCTCCGTTCGTGCTGTTGCGCCAACTATTCCAGCGACGTTTCGTGTGTTTGTCCCGCTCCCTTCAGCAAGGCAGAACAGTGGACACGGCCCTCCGGCCGTGCTGAATTCTTCGCCCGATCTCTCCTGGCGGATATATCGGTTGCTGTGACACTCTCGCCAGTGCCCCCAGCGGCAGTAAACTGCTGTACGCAAGCACTGCCAAACGTACTACGAAGAGAGCTGATGTTCTGGAATGCCTCCAGCTCGCCCACGTGCAGCCGGGACTTCCAAATCCCGCACCAGGGCGACTTCCACGCCCGGCCTACTGCTGCTCTCTCCTCTAGCATTATCGCCCTCCCTGATAACCGCCGCAGGGTGCAGCTCTCGGTGGCTACTCGGCGAAACAACCACCCTAATTCCGCCGCACCTGTCATGTCTCTCCCAATACAGCCTGACTCCTCCTGGCCACGCCCATCCGACTTGGCCTGCAGCAGCGATGGCATCGTGCCCATCGTCTCCTGTATCCTGCTCGTTCCTACCCGGTCAATCGGTGCTCCATTCCAGCATACAGCCTCCAGAGTTTCAGAGTTGCCCTGGCTGCTGGAAACCCCGATGCCCTCGTTTGGCAAAATCCGGTCTGTCAAGCAGACCCTCCCGGGAGGGGATACGCGAGCGTGTTCATGTAGCGTGAGCTCTGGCGCCGGTATATGCCGTGCGGAGTGGGGTTGCTGTTCATCTGTGTTGTATTAGCTCGTGAGAGAGGAGAGGGAGAGAGGAGAAGGAGAAGGAGGAGGAGGAGGAAGAGGAGTGCCCCAAGACTTCGACAGACAACGGGGACTCCGCACTATCACCCAAAGGCCTCTTATCACATACCCTCCTGGAACATCCCAACTGCCTCCTACGTAACGGCTACCGACCAATCTACTTCCACGCACGAACATAGTGCTGCAGAGATCGGATAAGATTCATTCGTATTCATTGAACATGTCCCAGCAGAATACGACATCACATCCCATACAAACGAGGAACACCCGTGTGGTAATGTTTGAACCCCACAAGATGTCTTATCGGGGGGTGTTGTATTTTGTATTCAACATTTCAAAATGTTGCGGTCGGCTGTCTTTTGTCACGGAGCCGAAATCGTGCACGTACATGGCAGCCACAGGAGCTTGCTAGTATCTCAAGAACGAGGGTCTCGCTCGCCAATGCATCTTGTTGTTGTGTACTTCGTGTATTCATTTCCTCATTCGAAGTATCGATTGCTCGTGGCGAAGGAGGTCTGATTTTGAGCCGGGGTTTTCCATTACTGCCTTATTGAAGCTCTGTTGCTCCTTGCCTTTTGCATCCTCTGTTTCTGTCGTCACGCGTGTTCCGTTTGTGTGCTCAAGCGCCGCCCCAAAACAATTATTCTGAATTAACTTTTGTCACTATCTTATTGCTATTCCCCCACCCTTGCCCGACCGTGTCTTGATAGCCGATCTCGACCTATGTCGTGCGGCTCGCGTCTCGAGTATACCTCGATAGGGCTTTCCAAATCATGGCCAGTCCCCAAGTTTGATCGACTTTCGCGTGCACTAGCGAACGTACAAATATTCGGCCATGTGCGACCATGTGCGCTGTTTCTCTCGTTCACTGTTTCACTGGTTTGCCGTCTTCCCATCGCTCTTTTGGAAGATTCGAATTTCATGGTCAGCTTGGCAGAAATCAACGGACCGATTTCGACTTACGGCACACGTTTCGCTTGACTATGCGTTGATAGGGCATATCGCGAGCATGCTCCCTCGCCGAACTTTACCCCGGTCCTCGCCCCCCCGGTGTTTACCATCGGGGTTGGGTTTTCATCGCTTGGCAACGACGTTGTAAAACAAGCCTCCCCCCTAGTATGGGAAGGAAATAAGAAGGTAGTGAAAGAACTCGAGGCGGCGCAGATGGAAGCAGCGAAAACCATCCTAGGATGCTCCAGGCGCACAAGTAATGCAGCCGTCAGGGCAGAATTGGGGATCCAATCCCTACGGTCGGAAAGAGACGCGAGGAAGCTGACCTGGCAGTATCGCATGTGCGGGATGGGAGAGGAGAGGTTGCCGAGGATTGTATGGGAGGCGAAGTGGGCAAACAAAAATATGGGTAGACAACCCACGGAATGGGTCAAGGTTGTAGAGGACGTATGGAAGGGGCTCGACATCGACGAAGATGAAACGCTGGAAACGGAGGGTCTACAGGGGTTCAAGGAAAAGATATCTGTTGCTTGTGCCAAGAGAGAACATAATCTGAGGAAAGAAACCAAGGATAAGGAGGGTCTAAAAGTGTACGGAATGTTGAAGGAAGGAATAGGGTTCAAGGACTACCTACATGGACCAATGGATGCAGGAACAAAGC